AAGCTGTGGTTGGGCCTTCTGCTTCTTATTAAAAGGCTAGCCCCAGTCGTTAAATGGTTGAGTTTGATTTTAGTAAAAGTGATCGGTGTCTTAAAGATTGCTGAACATTAAATAACCCCGAGTGACTTTAGCAGTGTCGATCGGTGGTCGATTTGTTTTACTACAGTCTAAAGCCTGTTTTTCACTAGGCGAATTTATTCGCGCGAATCAAAGCGTCAGTACGCTTCCTGAGCTCTCATTGGTTGCGCATTTTTTCGCTTCGCAAAAACTCCGATAAGAATGTGAATGCGCATGCGCATGAACCGACGCTTTCGATTCGCGCGAATATATTCGCCTAGTGGAAAGCCGGCTTTAGAACCGATTCCAGTAACCATGTTTTGGTTAATTGGCCTATTAAAATCCCCATAATAAAATTTAGTGAAGTTTGAAAGAGGCCCTTTGAAACATCATAGGCCTAAAAGGCTATTTGGGCTATAATTCCTTAGTAACATATAGGGAATTTTTTGCCAAGAACCCAATCCTAGATTTTCGAGATTCATGAGGTCGGGCAGGTTGGGCACACACGGTTGTTTTTTTTTTTCTTAAAGGAAAATGGTGGTTACGCCTCTCTCCAGGTCCCCTCCTCCAGTTAAATTTGAAAAACGTGTATCTTATTAAACGTTCCCGAGTATTAGCCTACATCATATCAATGTCTTCTCCTCTTACGAGTGACCTTTGCATTATCTCAAGAAGAGCACTGGATGGCGTTTGGCTTTTAGTTATAAATCGTGTTAGTATTAATCCTCTCGATAATACAAAAATTGTACCTACTGTACGACTTGTTTATGAGCATGTAGAAAAAAATCAGTGCGCCCTCATGTTATTCTAAAAACGCAAGCTATTTTCCATACCGTCTTGTTTTTCTTTCGCGTTGTGTTATCCCAACCCAAGCAGTACTAGTACAACACATCGATTCCTCGTGAATTGGATAGCCTCAAGAACACATCAACCGCAATTAATGCAGTGTTTCAATTTGGAAGAAATGTTGTTAAAACTTCTGTCAAAAGTGCGTTTGATTTACGATGGCCATCTTGAGGCTTGTTTCTCTGTACCGTTTTCCAGATGGCGATGTCGTCAGGTTGGCTGTGTCCACGACTCGGCTGATTTATATGTTTTTGCAAAGCGTTGCAATTTGTCACTTGTACAAGAACTCTTGTTAACTGACAGTAGTGTACTTGGCCGTGGTGAAACGTTATCCGGTCTGTTTAAGTGATTATTAGGATTTTAAATTGATAAATTGTTCACGTTGGTTTACTATCCTTCTGTCCCCTTCTCTCTTTCCCCTATGGATGTTCTTTTATTTTTAACAATTATTTTTAAAATCGATGAATGGAGAACAGACACAAAAACAAATTGTTGTATCGTCATATAGATTAAGCTTATATGAATGCAATATTGAAACGTTTATTTATGTCGTCATGTGATAATTGAAAATAAATTAGTGCAGTCAATCAATCACAAATGACAAGCAGGCAAACAAACATGTATACAGGCAGGCATGCTGGCAGGCAAGCAAGCAAGCGAGCAGACAAACAGGCAAGAAGCCAGCCTAGACAGCAGGCAAGCTACTGTACGGAGGACATTTTGTAACCCAGACTTACCCAGACTTACAATTGCAGGGGCTTCGCTACTAATATCCGCGGAACAGTTATGGGTTACGAAATGTCTGCCACCTTAGAAGGCAGGCATTTGATCACGAATCTCATTTTCTGATGTCTGATATGGAGGGGGAGGGTTAGGGGTGACATATCGTTCGTTTTATGCCACTTAATTAACTACTTAACTGGTCTTGACCACCATTTATGTTCTCAAACCTCAGTGGTTCAACCACATGCCGGATTTATTGAAGATTCGTTTTCGCGGTAGACGTACTCTCTTAATGGTGGAATTCACTAATTCAGAGAATGATTGCTATGTGAAACCACCTAAAGTCTTGAAACGAAGGGGTGGGGAGTGGGAGAAGGTGGATTTAAGGGATCGATGATAAAATGAGGGGGCACTAGGTAGGAAAATAAGGTGATATGAGGTGATTGCTTGAGCGTGATTATTTGGCTTTGGACGGACATATTTAATGCCGGTCCTTTCCGCGCACCCGTAGGTACGCCACTGGAATCCACAGGGTTATTGTAGAAATTGTTGGTGTTTTGTACATAGGCCTGAGTTCATAGGTTAGGCCTACTGTCATTTTAGTAGATTAGACTAACTAAGTTGAGGCATTGACCTTTTTTCGGCGTCGATAGATGAGACATTTACCACCTCCATGAGACTTCCTTACAGTCGCCTCTCTATGTTAAGTAACGTCCATAGAGTGAATTCTAAAAGAAATATAGGTCTTTTTGTTATTATTTCATAATAGTCAATTCATATTTCGCCGCTTTAAAGACAATCTATATTTTTATTACATTATTATGTAAACTAAGCATCTGCGATATAAGCCCAATGTAGGCCATGAAAGCTATATTTTACTTGATATCCCAGGGTTTAGTTCAAGTTCATTACTATTATCGTATTCTTCATTATCTAAAAGGTTATATTGAAATATAGCACATACCGTGTCCCTCAAGCTATATAGACCTAAGCGTGTAGCAATCGAATATAATCTTTATTTCATTTTTATCATTCTATTTTGATGAATCAAATTTCGTATTCATGGATTTATTTAATAAAAAAAACGTCGATTGACAGATTGAACTTATAAAGTGCAGAGTCATAAATAGGATAATAGCTCAACGTCGCTCAATATAGGTAACGTGGAAATTCCATGCGATGAAGTGTTTATGAAGGTCGATTTGCACAAAGAGACAACGGCACGTGGCAGCGCGCTAAAAATAGAACTTTACCAAAGGACATGTATTATTATTATTATTAATAATAATAATAATAATAATAATAATAATAATAATAATAATAATAATAATAATAATAATAATAATAATAATAATAATAATAATAATAATAATAATAAACATAAATAAAAACCCTCGTATGCGGGCAAATTACGCCACCGCGCGTAAAATGTTAGCATACACATACAGGTAGTAATCAGCATACTATATAAGCATGCGCAGTCTTCTCGCGGTAATGCCAGGCAGATGCAGCATGCGAGAAATCTCCAAAAATATGACCGTGCAACTTACGCACAAACGTCGGTTTATATCATATTTGCGTACACGCGATATATGTGCTACACATTTTTACTATCTAGACATGCGCAGGTCTTACTGCTTTTATGTAAAGCCGGAGGCTGCACGCGATTGCTGAGAAACTTCGTGACCATGAAATATAGCACTTGGCTGTTCCAATTTAGTGTTTCATCGATTCAATTTGTAATGATAGCATTACGGTTATAGATGGAGGCGCGGTTGTAATCTTGACTGACATAAGTGAGTAGCGACAGTAGTGTATAATTAGGCTGGATGTATTGGATAGGATCGTTTCGTGAGCTGGGTTAATCAATGTGCGCGTGACGTATTGAGTCGAATCTGGCGTCTCCGTATTCGTCAGCAGACACCGGCAAAGCGTGTATTTTTTCCCGAAGATTGGCAATTTCTCCTAGGGAACAAACAGAATCCGTTCTGTAGCTCAATTAGGGACTCCATTATGCAGAAAAATCCCCAGGGGCACAGTGCGCGGCAATATTACTCAATATACCAGTGTACACCTTATATCTGGAATTCTTTCCTACGCAACCAGGGAAGTATAATTACAACGAGGTCTAATTCTGTAACATTAATCGTTTTCGTTTTGGTTAAGTCCGTTCGAACAGAATTTGATGGGCGTAAACGTTTCTGACTTTTGAATTATATTAAACAGGAGTTCAAATTCGTTTGAATTATAATACAGTATGGCTTTAAAATTAGTAGAGCTATAGCTAGGTCAATCGATTAAACTGGCAGTCAGCTGCCATTTTATTCTGTTTTTGAAATAAAACATTGAACTAATAAAATGATGATTGAAATAATGTTCGTTATGAGAGTCATACAAATGGCGATGATTTTGCTAATCTTGCATTCAAGATGCAAGATTTCAATAGCAATCCTGATATCTGCATCAAATTACAAGATAAATAGTATTAAGAGCCATAATATTAATAACGACGAATTGTAAATTTTGCTTGTTGGTAGTTGACCTGTCAGCAAAAATCTGCCAGGATTCAATTTTGTGTTTCATTTTAGGCCTAAATGATAGGCCCTTCCTAGCGTGTGTATCGCCTGAAGCACCTAATGCATTTTGGTTTTAGTGTTTACCATTCATTGTTTAATCTGGGTTAGATAAAATATCTAGATAAAATACAGCCAGACAGGCGGACCAATTTTATCCAAGGCGACAGGTTTCGGCCTTCGGCCGCTAAAATCGATACAGTGGACCGATTTTAGAGGCGAAAATTAGTCTGGTGGACCGATTTTGGCCGCCAAATTCGGTCCGCCCGACCTTTTAAGTAGTTTAACACAGTGTTTATTTTACATTTTGCTGCCCTCTCTAGTTCAATGAATGAATAAATCAACCAATCAATCAGTAAATCACTAAATCAATCAATCGATTGATAAATCAAGAAGTACATCAATCAAGCAAACAACTAACCAACCGATCAATCAATCAATCAGTCAATCAACAAACCAAAGTATTGTTTATTCATTTAAATTGCAGCATATTTTGACAAACTTACGGAGCAAAACAATCCAATTAAAGTAGACTAGGAAAACCAATAAACAATCAATTTATCAACCAACTAGCAAATAAATAAATACCATTAATATTTAGCCTATTTACTAGACACAAACAAATAAACGACCTGTCTCTTATACACATCTAGATGTGTATAAGAGACAGGTATTGGATAGGTAAAAAATAAAATAAGAATAATTTGATTCTACTGTATTTTGGTACAAGTTTGAAATATGTTAGCGAAATATAAATATCACACATATACAATATACATACTGTCTCTTATACACATCTAGATGTGTATAAGAGACAGAATTAATTCATTTCTGGACGATGGAAATGTTCCAGTGCTCGCAGCGAAGATAAAACAAAGAGCAGGAGATAAAACTGTTCAACTCTCCAATAAAGTATGTATTCAATATTTCAACATTCAAAATGGACATCATACTTATATTATTATAACAATCAAAGGCAATACTTCACTAAAAAGTTTGTTATCCTATGTAATTAAGTTTCTTTAATTACATTAAATAAAACACTAATAAGATAAGATCAATATCAATAGAAAAATATTTCTTACAAGTTTTGGCTCAATTCTTGGATCATTTTCTAAAGATTTATTGAGATACACATTAGACACAAATAAACGAGAGTCTGGTGTTGCTAAACAGCAGGTGTTCACACCTCACAAACTAGACAAAAAGATTTCCTTTTTAGAATAATTGTTTATTCATCCTCCATCATGGAGGAAAATAAGTTTTGACTCCATGGTCTAAATACACCAGGCAGTTCTTAAAGCTCAGTGAATACACTTAAGATGAAGCTTTGGACACCTGGTGTTCCCTCAACGTACGTGATTTTTTCACTTGGGTGATGGTTACTACCCTGGAAGAGTGGGTGTGACAATCACATTTAATATGCCTAACAATTTGGTAGGTACTTAGCCTGCCATTCACTTTAGGGCTGTTTGTAACTGAGGTAGTTGGATTCACCAGCATGCCTATCTATCTAGGTGCTGACCAGACTATGAATTTTAATTGGACGAAAATATATGGCATGCCTAAATATGGTCATAATGACATCATATCATGACCATATATAGGCATATCATGGCTATATATGTCCAAAGAAACAATAGCATTTTATTTAGTTTCTTAATATTTTAATGGGTTATAATTATTACAGGTTGAGCCGAGTGACACAAAGGACAAAGTGATAGTATTCTTCAAATCACAGCCTGTTGTGATTACACCAGACAACCTTCACAATGTGGTCTTGGTATCTAGCATGCTTGACTCACCAATCAGTTCCCTGTACCATACTGTAAAGAAGGTACGATGGTTCATTTCATTTTTATATTCAACCAATTATTGATAGTTAAAGCAGGACAAGTCTATGTATTATGGCCTGTGTTTGGGGCTGAGGTGGCAAGAACCTCCATCTGTAAAAGTTCCTCCCTGGGCCCACTTTATTTAACATTTCTGGATCCGCCTCTAACCCGAGAGGTTCTGTGATATGAATATTCGGTGTATGGTATATATTTAGTTAATTTTATTACTAAAAATAAACTGAAACTTTAATAAACAATGAAGGTGCTCCTTACCTATTCCCTAAAATAAATAATTATACCCATAAATCATTCTCAAAAACACATGGACTAGGCCTACTAACTGATTTGAGATTTTTTTTAATACTTTGATTTGTAAACCCGCTGCCCGCAAATATCAATTATTTCGAATAAAAATAAAATTATTTTTGGTCAATTAGCACACCCATTTTTTCTGTGGGAATTTTTGTCTACATTCGGATATTCTGCTGTGATAAGATGATGTTGTTGATTGAAAATCTAAAAATTGCAGTGGGCTTAAAACACTATTATTTCACTTTTAAAAATTACATTATTATTTTACTTTGTAAACTTTCCTACCTTGCTAGGTGTTTGCACCCTTGTTACTTGAGGATGAAAAATGGTCACAAGGCTTTGATCCAAAGCTACAGAGTTTGTTGAGTCAGCTTGAGGCAGGGTTAAGCAGTGTCATCCGCAAGCAAGACCCATCCCAGCGTTCTTCTGGTAGAGAAGATAGCCTTGGAGGTATATATTAATGCAATTAAAGGAGATATTGTAACAGGTTTTAAAAATAATTTGAAATAAATAATAAAAAATAAAATAAGAATAATTTGATTCTACTGTATTTTGGTACAAGTTTGAAATATGTTAGCGAAATATAAATATCACACATATACAATATACATATGTGTCTATTTTGTGAACATTTACCTGGATAAGCCGACATGCCAAATTCTCTTTTAATTGAGGCCTGTTTATAGTTAACACAGTGTTGCGTCGGATGATTCCATATATTTGAGGTAAGTTCCTTAAAGGAAACACATGTATATTGGTTTATCCATGTAAGTATGACACTCATAGACTTCCAACATCACTTTTGCATCCTCTCATTCTGTATCTATTACCCCTTTTGCACTGCCAAGGTGAGAATAAGCCTGTGTTAATTCCGGAATAATACCGGATACATTTCCATTTACATAGAACGAAAAAGTCCGGGTTGATCCCGAGTTACTCAATTTTTGCTGCGATGGTAATGGTCACTTCGCTCGAGTTCCTGGTCGTGACGAAGCCCCATTATTAAAGCAATGTATCTGCAGATTTTGTTTTAAATTATGCGAATTTAATCAGCAGTTTTGTTATCAAGTCTATACGGGAGCGCTGGAGGTTTAATTTGAAAAGTGTCTTGGCATAGCACGTTGCAAAGTATAGTTTTTTAAAGTAAAGTTTTTTTGTTTTTTTTTGCTCTTACATTAGGCATCTTGACCCCTTCTGATGAATTCCAGTATTGGGCTGAGGTAGCAATGTCAGGAAACACATTGGATACGAAAGAACGTGCTCAGCTTTTCCAAACCCTCTTTGAACCAATAGCGAGAGATTATGGCAATCTGGATGGGTTTTCATTGGATGAGGGATTGCAGCTTGTTGAGACTACTAATGATGCTGTGGATGAGGTTTGGAGGCAGGGGGAGTTTGACCCCTACCCAGAAAGAAGAATGCAACATCTTTTGGATGTTATTGGTTAGTAAAAATTTCAAATTATTTAATCTATTTCATGATATACTCTAGATGAACTTTTGCCATCTAATGCCAAAAAGATAAATGGGAAAGATATGAAAATGAGCATCTAATTATTTTATTGTGAATTCTATTGCAAATCATGTGATACATATTATTTTTTTTAAATATTTTGTTATTATAGTTAACTACATATTACATAATATTTTGGCCTGTTGAATGGAATATTCTATTATTTTTTAGGGATATCTATAAATTTAACCTTGACATATGTCAGTGTATGTAGTCATGTATTACCGACATTAATAATATTAGTAATTTATTTTTAATCCTAATTTCAAAATATTTTGGCCTGTTGAATGGAATATCTATTATTTTTTAGGGATATCTGTAAATTTAACCTTGACATAATTATGTCAGTGTATGTTGACATGTACTACCGACATTAATAATATTAGTAATTTATTTTTATTCCTAATTTTAAAATATTGATCTTTTAACTGTGAAGGTGGAGAACTAGGCAGGTTTGTGCAGCGTAAACTATGTGGCCATGACATCTGGCGGGACCCATTCTACCGTGTCCGCGAAGCTCTACAGAGGGCGATCTCTATTTGCGACAAGTGGATCCTATTGTGTGAGAAGTTGACAGGTCAGATCTGGAGGACTGACCCCATGAACCCGTGGAAGGGTGAGAAGCTGTCTCTTATACACATCTAGATGTGTATAAGAGACAGATACATATGTGTCTATTTTGTGAACATTTACCTGGATAAGCCGACATGCCAAATTCTCTTTTAATTGAGGCCTGTTTATAGTTAACACAGTGTTGCGTCGGATGATTCCATATATTTGAGGTAAGTTCCTTAAAGGAAACACATGTATATTGGTTTATCCATGTAAGTATGACACTCATAGACTTCCAACATCACTTTTGCATCCTCTCATTCTGTATCTATTACCCCTTTTGCACTGCCAAGGTGAGAATAAGCCTGTGTTAATTCCGGAATAATACCGGATACATTTCCATTTACATAGAACGAAAAAGTCCGGGTTGATCCCGAGTTACTCAATTTTTGCTGCGATGGTAATGGTCCCTTCGCTCGAGTTCCTGGTTCGTGACGAAGCCCCATTACTAATGCAATGTATCTGCAGATTTTGTTTTAAATTATGCGAATTT